GTGTAACATACTCAAATGCTACTTTTCCGTGACCTACCGAACTACTATTTCCCAACCTCATTCTAAACACAGAATCTTCTCACAGTTAGCAACCTTGATAACAGATCTTTATGCTTACGTATGAGGGTTGACAATACGTCTGAAGTGTTATATAGTCACAGAACAATAAAAGCAGTTCACTTTTGCAACCCTCTGTTCAAGGTTAAGAGTTGAAATTAGAGGCTCTGATTAGTAAAGCTGCAAGAGGAGATTAAAATTAAGCAAAAACTTAACTTGAGGTGAAAATTACCATTAAGTGCACAGAGCAGTGAAAAGGACAGGCAAGTCCTGTTTCTGCAATTACTGTGCAGAATAGACACAAAAATTCTAATAAAGATGATTACTTGACATGCAAGACTCCAGTCTCTGACTTAAGATTACACATCTGAATACTCATCAAAATCAAAAAGCTTCCAGGTTCAGGTTTTGCTCAGAAAACAGGAGCAGAAGAAGACAGAATAAACTACAGGAGTGAATTTTGAGTGAAGAAAGGCAAATGCTCGTGGCACATGCAAAGCCACCAGGATTTCTTACATAATACCAGCTCACTGTGATAACTTGAGAAGGCAAATAAAATTAAATCTCCACTGGGGAACAAGCACATCCAGTTTTAGCCTGGTTGATTAATCCCACAGATCAGCTGCAGGCACCTTGCACAGGTTAAAAAAAGAGGTACCATCCCACCACAGCCCCCAGAGTTCTAAGCACAGTTTTCCACCCACAATTATCTGTTCCCATCACCAGGCAGATCATGGAAATATCCACGTCCCATATTTAGCAGTAAGAACACTCCAACAGATCAAATCCCACAATTTCCAAACTACCCTCAAAAAAGAAAAGATCTCTAGCACAGGAATCCATAGCTAACAATGAAATAGCAGCTGATTAAACCCAAAGAGCAGTCCTCAGGACTTGTCTAAAAAGGAGCAGCACAGATAAACCTGCTCCAATTTGTAAAGAAATTATATTTATTTCACAGTCTCTGGCTGGATCTATGCTTTTCTCCTCTGAAACCCAGGCAAAATATTTCCTACAGACCATAACTTGCAGGAATAACTTGTTTCGGAGGTAACAAAAATATAACAATTGATATAACTGTATAAGATTGATATAACTCATCAAGCCAACATTTTATAACTCAGAAAATTTTTAAATATGTTCATTTATAACATTAGCACTGAATTAAGCCATTTTTATAATTAACATTATTAAGAAAATAAAGAGATTTTAATAAACATCAGTCATAAGAATTCCTTCAAACAATTCCCACCACCAGCAAGTTTGATTTTTCAAGACTCACTGTGTAATGTGAAATGTATGGATCACTGTTCATGAAAGGACAATTAAGGCTTATTTCAAGTCAGATTAACACAGAGTTTGTAGCGATCATAATAGTCAGTAGCACAATAGAAATATGACCCTGTTCCCTAATAAATGTACCTAGATAATAAAGCAAGAATTTGAAACACTGTGACTTGGAAGATTACCCCCTTCCCTTAAAGGATTTCCTTAGGAGTAATAAATACATAGATTATCCAGTCTCTCCCTCCACATACATTTATATATATAAATAATACATGCACACTTAAAAAAATAAATCCCCCTTCAGCGTGTTTTACTGTTGCAGCAGCAGCAGCCCTGCTAACAACACACATGGCCCTGGAAATCAGATGCATAAAATCCATTTCAGCCTCAATTAAAAAGGATTCTGATGTTGGTTATGTCAAACCATATTCTGACTTTTCTAGTAGGAAAACCTGTTAAAAATAGGACCACTTGCCATTCCCTCCGACGTGCTCCGCAGGGTTCAGAGTATGGATTACAACTGACTTGTACGCTACGAGTCCTGCTCTTTTTCTCTGCATGGCTGGAAATTCAGATAGAAATCCACAATTCCAAACCAAACACAACAGAACATCAAGAGCAAGAACTGAGATGCAGGTTTCTCCAATTTTCTGCTGTTTCTAACCATAAAAACTCCCCTAAATTCTTTCTGCTGATAGCCCCAGGGGCAACTTTTATATCACAGGAGGTATTTTCACCAAAATTAATATCACTCACTAATTTTCACGGCTTGTATGTTTGACAGACTATCTTTGAGCTCCATCCCCATGCAAGCCTTAACCCGAAAGATTATGGCCACTCCTTGAAGCCACTATCTGATATCAAGCCATCAAAATCTAGAGAGATGATGGGAGAGATTTACCTGAGAGCAAACACTTCAGCAGGCCACGGTACCAAGTGCTTTTAAGCTTCTGCAGCTTTTCTCTTCTGCCACACGCTGTTTTATCACCCAGTGATTGGATAGGTGCTGATAGGTTTTCAACAGTGTCCAACAGCAAAAAACGTTCCTGCCACAAACTACACACAATGCTGAGCAAACTCAGGGGAAAGAAGATGCTACAGCAACTCAAAGTTCAAGGGCGGGGGGCAGAAGCGTTGCTTCGAACGGGTGTAGGAGTTAGCTGCAACCTTGGTAGTTAATTGCTGTATTTTCATTTCATTTTTAAACACAGTGAAGAACAAGAGCTCTGCCTCCCCTTTCCAGCTCTGTTTATTCAGAGGGAGCACAAAGAGAAGCTTTCCTTCTACCAGAAGCAGCACAATGACACAGAGACATGCTCCTTTATCAATATTAACTGTAAACTGCTATTAGTGGGATTTCTAAGAGCACTCCCTTTTGAGCCTCCTAAATGGATTTGAAGCCAGAAGCAGCTAATTGACTTCATACGAGAAAACCTGACAGTAGCTATCAGAACCCTTTGAATTTGCTCCAAGCAAGAGTTCACATTCTAAGTTTAATGCACACAGAAAATAAGTGAAAGGCAGGTCGCTGGAGCGTGACAACGATTTTAGCTCACTCTGGCAACAACGAAGCAGGAGCATCACTATCTGTATCCACAGGAATAAAGTGTTTCCAGGCATCCACCTTCCCGAAGCACCTATTGCATCCAGTTTATCTCTGCTCCATCAAGGCAACACCTTGCCTTCCAAGTGCTTCTCTCCAGCAGGACAGTACCTCTAATTAAGAAGTGCTACCTGGAAAAAACTGTTACAGGCAGAAAAATAAAGAGAGGTTTTCTCTTTACCCTCTCACACTGCAATTTTCATTCACAACCTTGCCCAAACACCTTCCAGCTTGTTACTTATTGCAGGTATCAAGGTGGCAGTGCAGTTAAAAATCCTTCTGATGGGAATACAACCCACTTCTCCACCGCTGCTGGGAGAACTTGTGTGCAGGAGCAAGGCGCCCTCTCTGATAAGCAGGTAGATCAGGAAACAAAAGGAGTTACGGATGTTTTCCCTTCTCACAGGGATATTCTTCTTCCAAATGCACTTTCTGTCTTATCAGCACAAGCCATCGGTAACCGAACCATCTGCCCTACACCTGCAGCAGGACTCTGAAAACGTATTTTGAGAGCCTCCATTTACAAACCTCCTGTGAGGAATACCACAACACACCACCAGCAGATGACAGTGTTTTCTGACTAAGTTTCAAGATTTAAAATCCTAACATGGAAGTTTAAAGGACAAACCCTTCACACTTACAAGCCATACCCTGCTCAGAGCAGACTGGCAGGGCACAGCGTGTTAACTTGCTACAGATGCCCAGGGCACACAGAGACAACTTCACTCCTCCTCTACCAACTGCAAAAAAGAAAAAAGCCAATCCACAGCTCCTTCTCATCCCACTCCCGACTCTGGACAGCAGCATCACATCATGCGAGTTCCTCCCAGGCTACTGGTCATTCCTCTGCAGTTGCCAGCCCCTTGTTATCTTGGAAATGCTGCTTCAAGTAACCTCTTCCTTCAGGTCCAGCCACTTGAACAAACCAGCACACACATATGCCAGCAGGTGACCAAGCAAACACAGATGCAAACCATCCCATTTAACCATTCTGCGTACGACTGGACACTGTCAGGACAAAATTAGGTCTTGTGAAACAGTTACTGGGTTTGGGAGCCTCAAGTGTTGGGGTGGTTTTGGCTGGGGGGGGGAGCGGAGGGCTCTGTACCTTGATCTGAAAGCACAGTTTCCTTTTGATTATCCACCAAGTCAAACCTAGGTACACTCCTGAGAACATCATGTCAGCAATTGCTGAGCATCAAATTCTACTTCCGCATAATATGCAGCTCTGCACCTTTTGTTCAACCCAGCTAGCCAAGTTTCTTCCTTTTTATTTTTCCTTTATTAATGGAAAATATGTACATTTTAGGACTAACCAGAACAATAAAGCCACTAAGTAGCCAGCAGCCTAACCCAAAGTCACGTTCAGCCACACAGCAAACTGAACCTCCCTGAAGCAGAAGAAAACTAGTGCCTCTAGTACAGTTCCTCGATGGAGCTGTTACTACTCAGATTTGCCCTAGGGCCCAACCTTACTGCCACTTACACCCAAGTTTACTTACAGGAGCAGCAATGCGGAAGGATTAAGCACCTCAGAACAATGCCCGGCACCTTCTCCTGCACCGCGGGAGACCTCGGCACGCTGAAGCCCAGAGCCTGAACTCAAGTACTACAAGGATGCGCTCCCAACAAATTCTCATTTCCATGTTTGCTCACCAGCACAGCAGCTTCAGGCTGCAGCGCTCGGCAGAAAGCTCACCACAGGGAAAGCAAGCAGTAATGAGCTTGCCTTGGCTAAGGAAATAAATACGTATTGTCCCCATATGGACATAAATCAGGTGGAATACTAAAAACTTGACGGGAAATAGGAATTCCTGACCCCGCTGCTGCTCAGAACTTACTGAGATAAAGTGGAACCCTACAAGAAGTTTCTGAACGCGGTGCAGCGTCTTTCAAGCTGGCACCAAGAGCGGACTGAGACAGACCCTGCGGACAAAAAACCGATCAGGGCTAGACCAGCCTGGCTGCGAAAGCTGCCCGTGTCCCCCCACCGTCCCCAGGGCTGCAGGCGGCCGGGCAGGTACCCCGGGAGACCCCGCTCCCCCCTGCTCACCTCCGGGGCTCGGTCCTGCGGCGTTCCTCCAGCGTGGCGGCGGGCGGGGGCTGCAGGGCAGCCACGGGATGGGAGCCTGGGGAACGTCAGCGAGGCATCGCCGCGCTCAGGGCTGGACCTGCCGATAGGCGCACCGGCGCCTGCCCGCCGGTCTCGCTAACCCGCCCGGGGGGAGGCGGTGGCGGCGGCTGAAGGGCCCCGCGGCCGAACTAGCGGCGGGGCGGAGCGGCTGTGCTGCCGGCGCCTGCCCGGCACGCATTTAAAGCCGCCAGCAACCTCGGCCGTCCCCTCGCCCGCTCCCATCCCGGCCCGTCCCGTCCCCTCCCGACCGCCGCTCGGCGTCACGGGGCCCCGGGGGCGGGGAGCCCGGCGGAGGGAGGAGTCTGCGGGGCCCCGCCGGGGCAGGTGCTCGGCGGGGGCAGCGGGACCCGAATGGTGCCGGGCGCTCCTCAGCCGAGCGCTGTTCCCCCCACCCGCGCCAACGACTCTACCCAGAGCCACCCTCCAGGCAGGAGAGGCCCAGCGCCTCCTTCCCCGAGAGCGGCTGCAGCCCCGCACGGACCGCAGGGCGCTCCAGCGCTGGACACAAACCACTCTGGCAGCGCGCTGGAAGCACACGCTACAGAGCGAAAATCCAGGAAAAACACACAGAAGACAGCATTTGTCCGGTTTGTTGTAACTTTGCAAGGAAATCGAAGAGTTGTTCAAGGTGTCCCTGCCCGTGGTAGGGGCTTAGAACTGGATGAGCTTTAGGGTCCTTCCAACCTAAACCAGCCTGTGATTCCGTAAGCAACACCTTACATCATGCTCCTTCTCAGCTCCAGCACGACAAGGCTCACCTATCTTTGCTGCCTCGTGCGGTCTTGCTTCCCCCTACCTCTTACACGCAAACTTACATTTACACTACTTGCCCTTCAAACAGTTCTTCCCAGACTGGTGTTGGAGGAGAGGACCAGCACCTGTACCCCAGCTCCTGTTCAGTTTTCTGTCCAGGCCCAGGGATTCTGCAAATAACACACGGCAGAAAGGACATAGACCCACAGAGGAACAAAGGGGACTATTGTAGTTTTGAGGAGAAACTCCAGTCCTTCAGCAAGGTTAGGGTTACCACACAGTGACTGCTTATTCAGCTACTCCTCAGCTACCAGGCTCCACTTTTGTCACCTGCCCAAAGCCACTATTAGGGATGGCTTTAAGCTGACAAGGGAAATTTAGATTAGACATTAAGAAGAAGTTTTTTATTGTGAGTGTGCTGAGGCGCTGGCACAGGTTGCCCAGAGAAGCTGTGGCTGCCCCGTCCCTGGCAGTGTTCAAGGCCAGGCTGGACGGAGCTTGGAGCAACCTGGTCTACTGGAAGGTGTCTCTGCCCATGGCAGGGGGTTGGAACTGGGTGAGATTTAAGGTCCTTTCCAACCTAAGCCAGTCTGTGATTCTGTGATTCTATGAATAATACACAATCCACTGTACAGACAAAGAAGCAGCAGCATGAGAAACCACAGCTATCTCCCTGCTGAACTCCTCCTGTCCCTTCTGCTGCTGGCACGTTTGCTCTTTCCTCAGCCCCTAAACATTGGTCATTGTTCTTAAGGCATTGTCATCTCACCCACTTTTTAATGGCTCCCTAAAAGACCTCAGCCGTGTGGTCTGCACATGAATTGATCAGGACTTGGGCTCCTCTACTCCCTTTAATAGATCTAATTTCTTAAGTACATGTCCTTAAGCAGCAAGTGGGTTTCCAATGGGTGCCTGACCACACAGCCATGATTTTCATCCCTTAGAGCTACGTTTCATTTGGACAAATGACAGCCCCCTGTGTTAACAAAAAGAAGCACTACGACCATTGAGCAGTGGTTTATGCTCAAGCCCTAACCCAAATAACTACACTGCTTTCCCTCCTCCCAGCGTTCAGAGTCCAGGACTACACTCTTCATGTTTTAACTCCCTAATGATATTCCCTTTAATTTGTATGATCAGCTTCACTTATAAATGAACTGGGAAGCTCCTGAGGGAAAGATGGATCAGCTACTTCAGAAGATTGCTGGTGCTTCTCAACACTTGACAACTAATGGGGGTTTCTGGATTCCCTAAAGTGTTTATATCCCTCAGCGAATGCATGTCTTAGATGGTCCTCAACAGCTGGCACTTAGTTTGCTATTTGAGTAACAAATGTAAATAACTTCCATAACAATTCAATTTCCAGTTCATCATAACTTTAAATACTGTCGTCTTAAACCTATGCATTTCATTTTCTGGCTAAAAAATGTTTTGACATTAGGATGCATGATTTTAAGTCAGTCTTCAAATATACCATCATGACATTTCATGATCTAAAACACTACCCAAATCATTTCCAGGAGTCCTTACATCAAGAGCCAAGGCAGTTCTCATGGCCAAGTTTGAAAATACCTACACTCTGCACACAGAGAGACACCCAAGTGAAAGGACCTAATAATCCTGCCTGTCACTGTGATTGACAGAACACAAACCCATCAACTAGAGACGACTTGTCCAACACACTGTGCATATGTTAATTTTGGCATCACTTATGCACTTTGGCCTGCATATTCCCTCTTAAAAATCACCCACTTGCCTCCAACAGCTCTTCTGTTTGATTTAGCAGAGGAAAGCTTGTCCCTCAGGACTAAAGCCCCCCCATCACAACCCAGGCAATAAAAACCTGCTTCAGCAATGGCACTGGGTGAGAATCCACCTTCAACCAAATGTCTGCTACTACCCAGAAATTACACTTCTGCCTTCTCACCCCACGCACAATTTCCCATGAGCTCACACAAGGTCACATTGTCAATGCTGCTGCACCTGATACAGAGAAAGTTAAGCTGGTGAAGATCAGAGGATACATCAACACACATGCTCAGTAGAACTGGAAGGGTTAAGCTTTCCCTGTGGCCCCATTATTCCATAAGTTTCTCTCACAGCATTTCTGGTAGGTTACTCAGAAGTCACTTGTGCTGACCACAGCGTTGTCACTCAGGGACCATGCTGAACTAGATGGAAGCTGGCAGCTCCTGCATTCCCGAGGTTTTGCGCAGACTACCAAGCAATACAATATTTGCATTGGATGAATTCAGGAGTAATTCATTTTAAGTCAGGAAGTTTCAGAGGATAAAAGTATTTCAATAGAAAAGCTAGGTGCAGAGAGCACACAGTTGTGTTTGCACAAGAGGCTTTTTGTATCTTTTGTTGACAAATGGTCAGTATTAAGTCATCATTTACACAAGCAGGCTCAACCCTGAACATACTTGTGCGTGCAATTAATCCTCTTGACATCAACAAAATCAATCATGCATGTTTTCAGGACTCCATCCTTGATGGTGGCTATTCCTAAGGACCTTGAGGGTCCCTTCACAGGGGTTTTGTTATACAGAGATGCAAGTGTGCAGCTCATTCCAGCTGTTTAACTTGACAGAACAAATTCCTGCCTTGCATTCCATAGTATGACAACTGAATTAGTCCAATGGCACTGATTTCTAAGGGCAACCTGAAAAACAATTCTGTAGCTCTCATATGTGTATCCCCTACCTGTGTTCAAGTCACCAAGCATGAGGACTTGCCTAATGGAAGTAAACCTCTTGGTTTCTACAGCTTGATTAGCAGGTCCTGTGTTTTCTAATAGCCCTGCCTCAGCTGTGAAAACTGCATTCTGTGGGGAGCTGACTTTTCAGACTCCATAGGAGTCCTAAATCGGCCCCCGCTGTCTGCCCACTCACTCTGAAACCACATGCAGAGCCCAGAGGAGCACATTGCCACATTCCCGCTGGCTTCCCCTACGCTGGCTGGCACTTTCATCTCTCGAAGGAGGCAGGAACAGGAGGTACATTCAGCTGAGATTAGACAGAACCCAGTGATGGGGACTTAGGGCTATTTTTTTATGATGTGCATATCATTAATAATAAATATATCACATCTGCTTGAGAGTAATGAGCAATCCTTGATCACTTTGATAGCCATACAGGCCACAACAGTCTCTGTTCACATTAAAAGGAAAAGAGAGCTGTGGATATATTATAGCCTGAGTCAATTGTTTGGGATACTTCCAGTACTCCTGATAACTTCTGGTAGTAAAGGATACTAACCTCAACAGCTTTTTAGTAGATGTCTAGTTAAAGTTGGAAGGTTAAACACTTGAAGATCAGAATAGATTAAAATGAGTGTTATGTCCTACTTATCTGGGAAGCAACACCAGTTTGTGCTTTGCACAGATCTGTGAACAACATCTGCCCATTTCTTACCTTCTTCTCCAGGACTGTTTTTTTCTATTCCCCTGGAAAAACATCCCTTACCTTCCCAGAAAGAGCAAGTCCTCCATGCTCGAACTGCTGTGCCTCCCGCACCCGGTACCAAGGCTCCGAGGATACCTGGTGGTGCTGAGGCTAACGACAGCGACAGCAGCAGCAGCCACAGAAGAGGCTGCAGTGCTGCTCGGGAGCCCTCTGCTGGAAACCTGTCCCCCCCCCACCAGGCACCCCAAAACCAGCAACCTGCTTAACCCAGCTCCAGCACTCCGCGGAGCGGGGCGAGTGGGTGATGGCCCCTTGGCAGCAAGCAAGCTGGGCTTCCTGCAGGATAAGCAGCAGAGAAAGCCGATTTTCAGCGCCTGAAGCTGTGTCCTGCTTGGTGCTGGAGGGCGGGAAGCCAAAGCAGGCAGCGGTCAAAGAGCCAAAAACACAGGGCTTTGTTAAAAGAAAGAGAGAGTGTTTGTTTATCCACCCACAAAACCACCAGAGCATAGGATGCTGCAACACACGCTTCCGCCACCTACAACTGTTGGGATACTGAAACAACAAATACTAACCCCCTCTAGAACAAGAAGGGAGCTGAGGAAGAGCAGAGCAGCCCAGCCGACTGAAGCATGTCTGTGCTTTCAAACACGTGCCCTCTTCTCCACTTCAGAGAGAGTCCATGCAGAAAGCAGGTCAGAAAGGACACAGGTTTCTGCACATCTCAGGGCAACAGAGAAATCACAGGGCTCAAGTCACCCCCTTTAGCACAAGGATAATGATAGCTACGTGTTACAGAACTGAAAGCACTTCCATGCTCTAAGATAGATATGGGTGGGCTGCTAATGAGAAGAACAGTATTTAATACAGGAGGATTTATTCTTTTCCCAGTTTCTCCCAAGGCTGTGATGAGTTTCTTCCTCTTCCTCATTCCTCAGCTATTGGTATCCTTGGCCAGAAAAATACAAAGAAAGCTCAGAGGCATGGGCCAGCATGTTCTCCAGTTTTTTCTATAGCACTTGTACTGCGGTCCAGATGGATTCTTCTGAACACCGAATCCTTACAAAGCATTAACCATTAACAATTTGACTTTG